AAAACTAAACCATATGATGAAGAGTGTCATCCAGGTGCGCCTTTAACTCTGACAGGCTTGGTGCTGCCACCACTTCCCTGGGGAGCCTGTTCCAGGAACCAACCACCCTCTCCGTGAAGAATGTCCTAATGTCCATTCCAAACTTCCTGGGACACAGCTTCATTCCCTTTCCTTGTGTCCTGCCGCTTGAAAGACAGGTTTTTGTTTAAAACACAGACTTTTGAGAGTTCTTGTTCAATTAATTCTTGATATCATGGATAATTATCGAACTTCTCAGCTTTCATATCTAAAGCAAAACATTTGCTTCATATGCCAGTTGTAGAGTGATGTACAGGAACATTTTGGAAAGCATTTCCATGGGATTGTTCCACAGAGATGAAACAGTTATAGTAAAGCTAATTAGCAACAATTAGCGTAGTCTACTCTCTGGGAAATGTGGTAGTCATCCAGTTCTACGTTTCCACTGTTGTACCTTTTAGGCTTGGTGTTCATGTGAAGGGCAGAGACAGACAGCACACCTGAGCCAAAGGGGCTCCTGTTGGCCCAAACCAAACCGGGCACATGATACAAGCCTCAAAGCTGGCAAAGCCTGTCTCCTGTATCTCAGCTGTAAACCTGGAGCAGAGAGGTTTAGATAGAAGCTGACTTGTGTTGCTCTATGCTTTTTTTGCCTTTCCCCTCTGAGCTTTTGGAAACAACTTCTTCCTTAATTTTTCTGTGCTAAAATGTTGCATGATGACAACTTCCAGGTGTTTCTTCACAACTTATCCTCTCATTGTGATGGAGTCCCATCTGTTTTCCTCTTTTCCTTTGGGCACTCATTTGCAAGTTTTCTGAGCCTGCATTTTGGTATGTACCCTGCTATGGGAAAGGCTTTTGTTCCATCTCATTCAGTAGGCTGTTGATATGTTTCACTGTTCTTTGTTATGTGGTGACACCAAGTTCTAGGTATCACACAGCAAGCGCCAACATAATGTGGTACCAAAGGCCACTGAAATGAAGATGGAAGGAAAAGTCACTTCTGTGACTGGGAGCAGCTCTGGGCTGAAACCAAGGTGATAATCTGTATAAATGGGCCAAGAATGAAACCCTCCCTTCTGGAAAAGGCGTTGCTTTCATTTGAAGAGCTGGATCATATTTCTTTGCGTTTTGCAGCTATTCTGTAGCGAGAAAGACAGCCATCATTTTACTAAAACATCGTCTTCAGGATTTCCCTCCACTGCTGCCCCCCCATCTCTGCGGCAGCATCAGATCACTGAAGTAGGTTATCTGTTTTCTTCAAATGCAAAACAGTATACTTAAACAACTTTCTCAGCTAAATTCTAGTTTACCAGTTTTAAGAACATCCTGCCAACCAGGGTCAAGATGAAAGGTCACCCCAGTGCATTGTCCCGTCTTCAACAATATCTTGCCATTTTCATACTAATAAGTAGAATAGGCCTCGGTAAACTTCTTTTCAATTAATTTTTCTAGTCACTTTTTGAAGCCATGCAAACATTTAGTGTCCACTGTGTTTTTTGTAAGTTAATGTCATTAACCATAGGTTAATTACTCCATGGGTGAAGAAACCTCCTCTTTGTTTTGAATATGTTTGCTTTAACCACATCTCTACTCCTCATGCACTAATTGTCTTTGTATCTGACAATTTGGCAGAGGCACCCCATTTTCTTTGGGAGCAGCAGGAGAAGAAGAACTATTTGTGAGTCCTCTCAGGAGTCAGAGGCTGAGACAGAGTGGGGAGGACTTAATTCAGCACTAAGATACGTCACTGCAGATGAGTATAGGCTGTGTCATATGTTCCCTTCCCATTCTATTTTCTTGAGAGACAGTGGGTATGGTTCTCCAGTTCCTGGTGTGTTTATCACATTGAGGTGTGAGAGATAGTTCACCTTTCAGGGAGTGCTTTTTTTCAGCCCCAGGCTTGCTCTTAGGACATAGATTTGAAGGTGCTGATGATGCATCTTTTTTCTCCGCTACTTTCTAGTTGAGCTCATGTGTAAAATGGGATTTTTGGAATAAATCTATCTGGTTATGTTGGCAGCATCCACACTTGCAACAGGAGTCCTTCTGGACTGCACAAATGATTGATAGGAATTCTGTAAATTCTTCATGTATCCCTCCCCATCTCTTCTGCATTGTACTCGACAGATACACTCAGCTAGTGAATATATTTGTACTGGGCCTAATATCTGTGGTTTGTGCTTCCTATTCTAAAAGAGGACATAAGAAGGACCAGATTCTGATTGGAGAAATTCTTGTTTGCAGCCCTTCTTTCTGGAAATAGGGATTTCTGAGTGGAGCAGGTAGAATTAGTTACTTTTGGATTTAAGCATTTAGGCATACTGATACATTAAGAATAAATTTCTTTCTCAATGGCTGGCCTTCTGTTTTTTGTGAGTCATCTAGTCTTTCAAATAATCTGGCAACTTCCTCTATTTTTTTGGTTTGTTTTTTCTTTTTTTGCAACGTGCACAAGACACCACCCACGCCCATGCCACTGCAGTTCTGTCAGTATGAATTTCCTCTCATTCACTCCAAGGTAAAGAGATTTATAGGTGAAATTGCTAAGGACAAATCTTAATTCAGGCAAGGTCTCCCACCCCATCATACATTCACCTGAACTATTTCCTGCACCTTCCAGCAAAAATAATTTTACTGTTCATTTAATTTTCCTAGCAGGTTACAGTGAGATATCCTGCAAAGGTGTTAAGAGTTAATGTGGGGACAGGCTTGGCCCTGAACTCTTCAGTATCTCCTGTCTGAAACCCAAAGTGAAGTTGCTCTCAAGAATTTGAACTGCAGATTCTTGCTCCAGCTCAGTTGTCATTTCCTTTATTATATATTCAGTGAAGGACTTCCAAATTACCTGTCCTGGCAGTCTGCTATTTTGGATAAGTGGATGCTATAACCTGTCTCCTAACTTTACATAATTTAGAGTTACATTGTTACTAGCCCCCTCATTTCTCTATCCTTATGCATTTTCAATATTTGTTCTCAACAGTCTGCTTTGGCAGGAGGTGAATGTCAGAAAGTGCAGTACTGGTGCCTACTGGGCAGGAACTTTGTGGTAGAGAAAACGAACAAGGTCTGGAATTGTTTTCCTAGGATGTGAATGTGTCCGTTTAGAGATTAAAGTTTGTGTGGGTGACATCTGCAGTGGTAGCATTGTTGTGACTTTATCAGGGTACTTGTTCACTTTCTTGACCTGCAAAATCTGGCCATACATTGGAAGGATCTCCACTTTGCCATGGATCAAAGCAATTTTCAAAAAGAGAGTCTCTTGTTTGTTCTGTCTGTGACACCACGAGTTTTCTCTATGATCTTGGCACCAGCTATGGGGTACTTTGAGGCAATTGTGCCTCTTAAGGATAAATGAAGGTGTATGTCACAAACAGAACAGACATTTCTGTAGCTGCTGCCAGGGTTTCATAGTAATTAACGTTTGGCAGTTGGTATCCATGGTAGTGAATGCACATATAAATAATATATCTTGAAGAATGGGGGCACTTTTCTTATAATTTGTTTTCTTGTTGTTTTATATTTAAAGTTTTGAAAAATTATAATAATTCCCATTCTTTAAACAGTAGGCCTCAAATTCTCAAGTTGTAGTCTGCCTTTCAGGCCATATTTTATAGTACCTGATAGAAGTACAATTGCTATGTATGTTGCCAAGTGAAACACATACAAGGACTAATATTTACTTGGTATTCCCTTTTCTTCCTAGATCTCCATCTGCTGGCAGATACAGCTTGCAAGCAGGGGTTCATTCCAAAGGAAGAAACAAGAGAGTGAGAAGTGGGTGACAAGTATGTGAAAATCTGCAGCAGCTGCCAGCTGGGTTCCCTTGTCAGACTCCAGCGGCAATGCTTCACACACAACAGTCACTGGGGATGATTTTAACTGTGTTTTTTTTTAAAAAAACAAAAACAAAAACAAAACAACCCCAAACCCAAACCAAATCTCTATTTTTTTTGCTTTCATTTTAACTTTGTAGGGTATTAGTTACTCCATTTTTTACACCTCTTCCATTACATTTTCTACCTGTCGGGCTATAAAGGATCTAGTGGTCAGAGTATTTATTAGTTTTCTTAGCTGCTTGTATTCTTTAGACTCATGAAGTCTGAACTTTTTGTAAATTGGAAGCCTTTAAAACTTTCTCAAAACTTTCTTACTGGGAAGTAAATTGGTTTTAGTGCTGTGTTTGGAATCTCTTTAACATTGTTGGAAGCTACAGTTTGCTCAGCTTAGATGGTGTTTGGTGCTCTCACTGTCTTTGCTTGAAGTCATACTGTGGCCCTTTACTGGGAATTGTCTATGAAACAAAAGCATAGGAAAGTCACAAGATTCTAGGTCTGAATGGGTCAGGGATTTCAGGAGAGCAGCTATAGGAAAGATGAGCTAATTTTCTGAGTGATTAACCAGGAAATGCTCTTCCTTCCTAAACCAACTCTCTGTTTCAGCAGCAAGTGTATCCTTTCTGGTGGGTATCCATTACATATGACAGCTGCTGATTTTTACATTAATGGGAAATTCTTATGTTTTAATGATTTTCTTTTGATTCTAATAGTATATGTTGTGATAAAATATTTGGGTTTTTAGTACATTGTGTCAAATAGGTCTTCAAAATAGGTTTTTAACTTTAAAAATTGTATTGTATTCATATTGATAGTAGATCTTAAGTTTTCAATAGTTACGCATTTGTATTTATGTTAAAATACTGTTTGAAGGATAAAGGGGGCACATTCTATATTTGTGGTGTTAGGGAAATACATGTGGAAGAGAACTTCAAGCATAAATTTAAGTTGCTTCATACATGTTTACACTGCTTGTATAATCAGTGCCAGCTCTGAGCAAAATGCACAAGAAAGGAGCAGAAAGAATTTATCAGGACCACCTCAGTTATCCCTCCAGAGCTTTCTGTAGCTTCTAGCTATGGTCAGGACGTCCTAAGTGAACACTGAGCAGTAGGGTAAGCTGAGGTGAAACCTTTAATTACTTACCAGCAGTCCAAACTAGACAAATGCAGTCTGAGGCTGCTTTCAGGTAGGGTGAGTGAGAGCGTTACCATACTGACTGTCCTCAGATTTGTTATTCTTTATCATGTCTTACATATGTGCAGCACAATTCCAGTTGATGTGAATAGTCAGGGCTAGGTGCTTCCGTTCAAATCCTCCTACTCAAATGAAACAATATGGAAAGCATTTCTAAATGAATGAGAGTTTTCAGGTAGCTAAAAGATGTTTGAGAATATCACTGTAGCTTTGTCACCTGAGTTTGATTTTGTGCTCCCTGTCTGACACAGCTTGAGTCCGTTGGATAATACACCGTGGAAATAGTGGACGGGCTGTGTCTCCTGTGGTAGTTGGTGCCGTTCACAGTAACAGGACTTGAGAGCATCGGTCTTGCCTTCCTGGCGTCAGGCTGTGAGGAGATGGAGATCACAGGAATTCAGCCTCATCAAACTGGAGCTGCTACCTCTTTAATTCAAATAAAAGACAAAGGGAAATTCTTAGCTTACCTTTCTTGCTCCTGTTTACCTCCAAAAGATTTGATACTTTAGGAGATCTAAGTTAGGGTAGCCTTAGTGTCTTAATGCTCTATGATTCTAAAGACAATTGATGAAATCTTAGTATCAAACTTTTAAAATATGCTAGTTTTAAAAGGTTATGAAGCTAGATCTTCTGCAGCACAGCACCTCCAGAATACAAGTGAATGTAAACTCTATTTATCCTTAGCCAACTCCACAATGCACTGTGAGGGAGCGCAGGAGAAAGGGCACTCACTACTTTAAGAAATCAGTGTAAGATTGCACAAGGCCTTGCAAGTCTCAGGTAACTCCAGATTGAATGTCTAGCATTTCAGCACCTCAAAGTGGTTGTAGTTCAGTCAGTAAATAAGAAGTAACTTCTGTAACAAGACTTTTATAACTGTATTCTTGTTAATGGGAAGAGAGTGGGATTTGGTTTTCCTCAAGGATACCCTGCTTAGGCAGCGTGGTTGCAGCAATCTGCAATGAATTAAACTTTTAAACTGAAATGGGTGTTTGTACTTATAAATTTATACTTTCTGTGTTTTAAATTACAAATGATAGAGTATAACATTTAAAAAAAAAAATGCTTCACGTTTCAGTAGTGCTTGCTGACACTTTTATCAACAGATAGCTATTACCACGCTGACAGGTTTAAAAAAATGTGGACCGATTCATTGCCTAATTTATTAATTTCTGTGGAGTGACTCCAGGGATTAGTTTGGTTGCACGTGTAACAAAACCCCCCCGCGTTAACCGGCTCGCTCTCCGGGTCCCCGAGCAGCGGGGCGATGGGGATCGGCTCCCCGGGCCCGGCGCTGGCTTTGCGGTGACTCCCGGGGCCCTCGGGCAGCCGCGCTCCCTCACCTGCCGACCGATGCGCGGGCTTCCAGCTCCAACCTTGCCTTGAGGTTAGAGGTCTGACCTCCGGGATTATTCACCTCTCCGTGATGTCCGAGGGAAGGACAGCTGGATTCCAGACCTCTGACATCAGCCTGACCCGAGCCAACTCCAGGAGGGCTCCTGAGCCGAAATGAGTGAGGGCTGGAGAGGGGCAGCGCCCGGAGCCCTTCCCCGGGCCGGGGGCGCGGGGCTGCCCTCAGCCGTGGGGGGTGTGGGCCGGCCTCCCTCCGCCCGGGCTGCCGAGGGGGCCCGCTCCCGCTCGGCGGCCGGGGCCGGGCCTCAGAGCCCCCCGCCGGGCCCGGGAGCCGGGGGCCGGGCCGCGCTGCAGGCGGGCGGCGGGGCGGGAGGGGGAGCCCGCGGTCCCGGCCCCGCGGGGGGGCGGCGGCTCCGGCTGCTCCACCCTCGCTCCGTGGCACAGGTAGGAGAGCGCCGGCCGGGCCGGGGGACGCGGCCAGCCGCAGCCTCTGCCCGCTCCGGGCGCCGAGCCGCAGCCTTCGCTCCCGGCCGGCCCGCGGCAGCGCCGGGCGGCCGCAGCCCCCGCGCCCGCCCGGTAATGGTGGGGCAGCCCGCCGGGCTTCGCTGCCGATGTGCCAGGTTTTCTGTTCCTTCGTGCTCCCCGCCTTCGGAGCCGATAACTGCGTTCGCCGGGGCGAGGGGAGAGGCTTTGGTATCCTAGAGGAGTTTTTCCGAAGTGGTTTGGGGGGGTTCTTTCTCAGGTCTGCGGATTGCATGCGGACACTTCACTTGCAGCCATGCCGGCCCCGGGAGCTTTCTGTCTGCAGTGATTTTCTCCCTCTGATCTCGCTGGATTCTCTGTCGGGCTGTGGAGCTCCACTCGCACCTACCTGCCTGCTGCATGTGTGCGAGAGTGATTTCTCTCTTTTTTTTTTTTTTTTTTTAATATTTTTAAATTATAAATACCAAATCTTTTATTATTCTTGTTTTTAAAGACCAAAACTAAACATCATCAGACCCACGCAGCTTTCTTAAGCTACTGGAAATAACTTCTGCCTAGGATTTACAGCAACGTTTCCATCTGTCCTGGCCCCTGTGGACTCCAGCAGGCACACTGCCTAACAGGTTTGCAGATCTTTCTTCTTTTTTTTTTTTTAAATCACGTTTTCGTAGCTGTGTGATCACTGTAACTTTCATTTTAAAATGTCTTCTGTCTGAATTCTCCCCAGTTATGAAGACTCTTCAAGACGTTTCATGTGACCTTTGGGCAGACCATGGAACTTTTTGTTTTATTTTGTGGGGCCTTTAGTCGGGATCTTCTTAATGTGTGCTTGGAAGTGGTCATACCGGAACTCAGGCGTGCACAGAAATAGCGTGAGAGTAACCAGATATGCTGTAACTTTTTGCTTGATACCTGTTTGGCTTGGTATCTAAACTTTTAAAGTGTTTTGGGGCCTTTTTATTTCCTGGGAACTTGAAACTATGAAGAGAAGCTCCACGCTTTATTAATTATCCTCAAGAACTGCACCCGGAGTCTGACTCTGAACATGGATTGCTAGGAGAAAAGCAAAGTTGATCTCCAGACTTGAATGAAGTGCTTCTGGCATGAGAAGGATGGAAGGGATCAGCTCGATTTGGAAGAGAACGGTACAGAAGCAAACTTTATTTTCACCGTGAATTCAAGAAATACCTCCTGCATAATTTCTGAGAAAGATACCGACAATTGCAGATAACACCCAAGCTTACGTTGTGGGAAATGCTGGCAGGAAGGTGAGGTGTCTCTCAAGGGTTTTTGAGATGGATGTTTGGAACCTGTGGATCTTCCTAACTCTCGAGCAGGAGACACGAGGACACCATGTCCACAGGGAGATCTCCCCGCGCCTCATCTCTGTGGGACTGACGATTTCCTAATGCTTCCTGATGTTCCTGTATATCTGAACTGATTTCTCGCTCGCAACCTGTTTCGCTGATCTTTCCGGATTTATCTGCTGGAGGAGGGACTCGTAACTGAGGATAATTTTATAATTTTTTTTTTTTTTTTTAGTTTGTTTGTTTAAAATATGCCTTTGAGTTCCCAGCGGCCTTTGAGCACGTGGCACCAAGGAAGAGAAACGGTGATGGCGAGAACCGGAGAAATCGTCCGGTAAAGCAGCGCTGGCGGTGACTGAGCCCCTCTCCCCTCTCTCTCCCGCCTCCCCGCCGCCGGGACCGCGCGCTCGGAGACCCGACGAGCTTTGCCGACGGCCGGAGCCCGCCGCAGGGTGAGGACGCGTTCCCGAGCGGTATGTGTGGCCGGAGCCCGCTGCTGCAGCTGGTAGCATGAGTGCTGGCCCCCAGCTGCAGCTGGCTCTCCTCTGGCCTTGGCTGCTCATGGCGACCCTGCAGGCAGGACTCGGCCGCACAGGGCTGGCGCTGGCGGCGGCGGTCGAGTCGGAGCGGGCGGCGGCGCAGAAAGCCATCATCAGGGTGATCCCCCTGAAAGTGGAGCCCATCATACTGGAAGGGGAGTTCGCAAACGTCGCTGAGGTGACCCCGGCCGAAGGGAAACTGCTCCAGGTAAGAGCAGCTGCGTTTTATCCGACCCCATCTGCCTTACCTTCCCGCTCCTGGCCTCTCCCCCTTTTCTCTCCTCGCTGTCTCAGCTCCCGGCGCGATGCGCTGGATTTTCTTTCCCGACTGCAGATTTATAACCGAAGCAATGAGGCATTTTTTTATGTGAGCTGTCCACCTGTGTGTGTGTTTTGTTCCTTTGTGTTCCTACTCCCCAGCCCTGCAGACTGTGTTCAGGCAGAAGGGATCGCGCAAATGGTTGATTCTTCATTCAGTCACGATGGGTAGCTGTGCTTGTACTAATGTTGGATTTTGGATGTGGTCAGTTGATCCCATGAAGATTATTGCGTATCTAAATTGATGTTATAAAGCTGAGTGTGACAAGTCACATGTTTAGCGTCCCAACATCTGACAGAAAGCATGATTTTTTTTTTTTATTTTATTTTTGTGAAATCCGTAAGGTTTTCTACAGACTTCTGCTGATAGCTGGGGTTCTATAACAGCGGAAATGCACATCCAGACTTTGCTCACCAGAATCACTGACCCCACTAGTTATTGTCTTGTGTATTGCCTGTACCTGAAGGTTGAATTTTACCCATACGGTGGTTCCTGTGGTGTCACCACCATGCATTTTTATAAGTGAAATTAATGCTGGTTTCTGACCTTTACTAAGGAGAGAACATCTGAACATCTCGCCATGAGGTGCAGATGCTGCTAAGAGTCAGAGCTGAGCTATTTGGTGAACAGACCAATCTCCTGCATATGCTAAGTTTTGAGCTCAGTTTTTTGAGACCCGGAGTGTACTCTCTCTTTTCTGTTGGTAAGATGCTTGGCAGTCCATGTGCTTTATTCTTGAAGACAAAAAATGACAAAATAGCCTGCATTAAGCTTAAATCTTAATTTTTGCATGGCTTTTTCCAGTCTTGACTTTCCAAATGTGGTATGATGTAACCTTAATTAAATTTGTAGCTTGGAAATTTAAAGTAAAGTAATACATTTTGTATAGGCTTATAAGAAAAGGAATACAGTAGAGCCAGCTCTAGAACATGATCACCTGTCTGAAAATGAAAATGGTCAATTTGTGACATTTATAAAGCCTGGTTTTCCATGCCTTTTGAACTACTCAGAACAAAAACTATGCTATAAAATTATATTACCAGGCTTAAAAAATATCTTAGACAAATGTACTCAAGGTCCTGTTCTGTCGTGAGGCAATGTCCAGGAAAGTCAATATTTATTCCTTACAAAAACTACAGTGGTGTTGCAACTGAGCACAAAGTATAGAGCATGCACCTTTTTGAAATGAGATGATGATAACCTCTATTGTGTGATGTGTGGACATTTTTAACTAAATGCAGTGATACAAAGTGGGATTTTTTGTATCACCTGCCATCCCAGCAGCACAAACAAGACGTTTTGAATACTAAGCAGTGAATGCTGTCAGATTTACAAATGGACATCATCCTTTAAAAATCATCCTCAAAATTGGAGAGGGTTGGAGAAACACTGATCTCATCAGCTGAGTTTGTGTACACAGATACTGACCGGCACTGTATATGTTTTCAGGCCTTGATTCTGCCACCGTGTGTGCTCAGGTGATTGTTCCTATTCCACATCCCACTGAATCCGGTGCAGAAAAATCATCCAGGTCTGGTTTCAGATGGCAATGTTGGGATCAGGGGGTCAGGCTGTGCCTTCTGCAGCAGGATGTTTGTCTGGTGCCAGGCACTGTGCTCTGGGAAAGCTTAGTCAAGTGTACCTACGACCTCTTGTGTATATCTTACGATGTGGTTTCTAATTCTAACACTACATATTGAAACTCAGAATATAAAATGCCATTTAAAATTGTTTGGGTCCTAATCCTGCAGTGGGTTTCTGCCTCTGGAAAGGCAAAGTAGGAAATGGAGCTGTAACTGTTAAGGTACAAAATAATTAAGAAATTAATGGGAGGAACTATTTTTAGTTCGCATTTAGGTAGTTGGATATTAAATATATCTGAATTAGGCTTTATTGGGACATCCCATTTTACATGTGGTTGTCAGCATCCCAGTCTTGCAAAAACATTAGGTCACGTGCTTAACTTTGATGTCATTGGAACTCTTATTTAAATAAACTTTATCCTCTTCGCACATACCTGCACAGTTGGTTCCGTACATGTAATTTAGTTACGTAACATGATTATCTTTACAGTTAATGAGTTAAGAAGTCTGGTTTTTACTCCATTTTTGGATAGGTCGTCTTGGTTATGTCGGACCCTGTAAGATGCACTCAGCCCTCGTGACCATCGCAGGAGAACACAAATTGCAGACCTTAGCCTGGAAAAGAAGAGTGAATGGGCCAGTCCTGTTTTCAAAGCAGTGTTCTCTTAATTCAGTGCTATAATAAGATTGCATAAGGATAAGTGGTGCAGAGTTAGCCCTGTATTCAAGTAAAGTTCTCTTAAACTTATAATTATCTTCATAGTGTTCTGGTCAATATATTTTTAGAAATACATGCTTAATTTAATATAGAAAATTCTGCATGTAAGTGATGGAGCCTCACCAAAGATAATTCTACCAGAACATTTTCTGGGTTTCCTTTTCCCTGCCATATTCTGTAGGATCATCTACAGAAATGAACATTGATCATAGTGTGTTATGTTCTTAGAAGTTAACTTTAAAAATATTTTTTTTTACCTATAATAAAATAACCCCAGTGTCAAATTCCTCCTCACACCCTTTGCCCCTCGCCTGGTTCTTCTGGGAAATCTCTGGATTTTCAGTTTTGCGGGTCACTGAACCATGGTGGGTGAGTGGGTAGATGCCAGGCGGCTGCCCGGGACCTGCCCGCCGTCCGCCCCTCTCAGTTTAACCCAGGCAGTGCTACCTCTGGCACTTCGCGGGATGCAGTATGATGCAAAGGGAGAGGAATTTCTCAAGTAGGCAGAACCACTTAAGACTTTATAGGTCAAAAAACCAACACCTTAGACTTCTTACAGAAATCATCTTCAAGCTTGTTCAGATAGCACATGCTCTAAGCATTAACTGTTGCTTAACACTGGAGAAGTAGTGTTGTGAAGTAGTTTGCAGTTTCCAAATGGCTGGAAGTTTAGATCTCTGTTGAGCTTACTGTGGTACCGTGGACTACTTCTGAGAAAAAGTCCCAGGGAAGCCAGAAAATGGCCCTTTATTAAAGATGGAAGAATGAAACTTTTTAGATGAGTAGATTGGAAAGAACGTATTTGGATCTTACTGATAACGGGCAGTCCATGAGCAGCTAAGGATTCAACATGCCCTCCGAATTGCAGTTCCTATAGCTTTTTGCAGATCAACTCTCTTTAGTATGATCACTAATGCAATTTTTACAGCCTCCGTTTTTGATATTTTTGCTGTTATGTTAGCTTATTTTTGAGGAATAAATCTTGGTTTCCTTCTTGCCCATGCCTCAGTCTCCACTTGATACTGGAGAGAGTCGACAGTGTTGGTTTGAAGATGGGTAGGAAAATAAGGATCATTTTGGAAAGAAAAGGAGAGCCACTGTAGAGACTTGAGAGGAGATTTAAGATTTTTCCAATCGAATTACAACAGAACTCACATGTAAATCTAATTGGGGGAAAAAACCCCTCTTTTTATTTGAGAAATAGTTCAGCACTTAAAGGTGGTGATTTTGTTGGTTTTTTTGTTTTTGTTTTTTGTAAAGTGTATATACAAGCATACACAATTAGAACTGAACATTAGTATCATTGAGTGTATATAACCCGAATCTTGTATTCAAGGGCAAGGATGATACTGTTAGTATGTGTGGTGTGGCTGGGATCATTACAGTCTCTAGTTCTGGGGCTAGTATTTTGGAGATAGTATTAAAACTTTGGGAAAAGTCCCAAACAATATTTAAAAAGAGATAGATGAATTCAAACTACCATATTTACTGTAGAGAAGGCAAAGCAATCACCAATCACCTTACATGCCTACATGTAGAAAAAACATGTAGCAATGTAGAACAACGGAACAGTCGTCTTATTTAGCAGGCAAAAGTATATAATCCGTTTTCCCAACATGCATTATTTCATGGCAAGTGTCACAATACTTTGTTTCATTTCCATATAATCTTAGCAGTTACACAGTTAGGTGATTGTGAGAGACAGTCAACTTTCATTTACCCAGTGAGCACATTGTTTTAACTTATGGCTGCAGGAAAAAAACCTGGAGAACACAGAGCAAGCTCCCTAAATGCTCTGAACCCCAAAAGCAAGGATTATCCCCTTTCCTCTCCCCCCAAATAAATAAATTATTAACAAAACATTATTTTTAAAGTCAATCTTCTATTTAGGGTGGAATGAGTGAGAATTAGAGGAGGATCCCAAATAATCATTTTTTAGGTACTGTGTGCAATTCAGATGCTGAAAATCAAGCAGATATATTTAGAAAAGCAGCATGGTACATGTTCACAACATCAATGATAATTAACCCTTGAAATGGCTACTGTGAACCCAACATGATCATCCTGGAAATGGAGAGTGTTTCCAGTGTTGCAATGCATAGTGCTATTAGGGAATTATAATCACCTACTTAACTGCATATAGAGGGTTATGCTCCCAACCCATAGGAAAGTAAATATATATTAGTAGTCTTCTATACTACTAGCTCCTGGATCAACAAAAGGATGTTGAGTGCATAATGTTGACAGAGATCAAAGAAGTGGGAAAGTCTAACCAAATGATAATGGGGACTTAAATTACCTGTGAATAAACTGGTCAGATAGCACAATAAGAGTGAGTTCAAAGAAGCAATTTCTGCCTCTTGGAACAGCTAGTACTAGAGTACACAGAAAGATATTCTTGACTTAGTGTTAAGTAATGTGCAAGAACTGACTCCAAAGCTAGCAATAATTGAACCACTTCTGTTGGCTGTAGCATAATAAAATTTGTTGCCTGTGTACCAAAAAGTGGAACTCTGACACTAACCTTTAGAATGGGAAATTGCACTGAAGTGAAACAGTGAGACGAATGGCTCTTACAGCTTAAAAAA